ACAAATTATCCATTCAACGAGATAATTTGTTGACTAAGTAGCTATTTGTGTATTTAATTTTGTAGCGCTATGCTTGATTGAAATAGTTAGGTAAGCAAAATAGTGTTGTCAGTAAGAGACCGATAATAACATTTTATCCCAGGTTGCACTTAGTTTATATTATTATAAGTATAGATAACCTTGTTCCAGAACGTGAGCTCGTCTAAAACCCTGACCCTTTATTAGTGCAACTTTGGGTTTTCCGCGATCGCTTTCATTTCATAATCGGGAACGAGATTACTTATACGTCAGCCCCTTAGAATGAGCACCGCGATATGGTATATAACGCGTTTTTATCACGCTCAATTGTCAAATCACTATGAAGTTTGACAGTTAGACGTGAAAAAAACGTGATAATGTAAATTGTGGTGCTCGTGGTACGGAGGGAGATTGACACTTTTCCATACTTTTAAAGTGGATAGCCATAACAGTAGAAGTTTCAATTATTAACCGAGTTGTTGTATAAACGACACTGTCTTATTTGCTGGATAAAAAGAATATGTGTGCAGAATTGGGTAAATGAAAAACAAAGCCCAACTTACATAATGTCCACGTTTTGTGATAAGGTCTGACTTTTTGGTCCCTATAATATTTTGGAAAGGAAACAGAATGGAATGTATGGGTCGCCATTAGAATCTATATATATAAAACTCAAAGGTGATTGACTGACATAGTGATCTATCAACGCACAGCCCAAACCACTGGACAGATCGGGCTGAAATTTGGCATGCAGGTAGATGTTATGACGTAGGCATCCGCTAAGAAAGGATTTTGATCAATTCTACCCCCAAGGGGATAAAATAGGGAATGAAACTTTGTCAATTTTAATCCGATCGGGCTGAGACTTTGCATGCAGGTATAAGAAGAATCATACATGAATGTCATTGTGTATATACAAGCCTGAGAACAAAAACTGTAGTCTACACTTCAGCTCTACACCGAAGCGAAGCGAGGGCGGGCCGCTAGTTGAAGATATAACCAATTACATGCATGCATTATCCTCGTACCAACAAGGCTCACTCATAGTTAGTTCCTGTTGTTATTAATAGTCAGTGATAATAGTTCGTAGTCCTTTAGTTTCCTCGTCATCTTCTAATGTATGATCCTACTGCCTGTGTTGACGAGTCCGCGACCTCTACCTAAGATAACATCATATCAAACAAACACTCATATTATTTTTTGGAGGATCGTTGTATAATATTTTGGTGTGACTAATGAAGAAGATAAGGTAGAGCTTATCAAATTCTTGTACAATCGGCATACATTATTATCGGGTACCCTTAATATCTATATTCAGAGCAAACGATTATGTTTTTTATCTGACTGTTATCTGGACTTGAATCGTGGCCGTGTTTTGTAGTCAGCTAGTCAGGCAATACCGTCTGCATAGCGTCGTCGATCCATCCGCAGTGAACAATATTGTCATCTTAATCATATGTGTGTTATCCATCTGTGTCATCGCAAGTTTTATTTCAAATGTTCCGTATAGTAGCGAGCTTTTAATGGTGTTAATGTTATTCAACCACACTGTTGTTGCTCATAGTATAGGCACAATCTCCATATTCAATAAAAATAAAGTATCCTACGCACCAACCCGCACTAGTGCCGCGTGGTGGCCCACCAATCAACACGTGACCCACGTGGCGAGTCATAGCCCGATCTCCCTATACCTTCAAAAAAGTATCCTACCCAGTAACAACCAATTCCCACTGGGGCCGCGTGGCGGGTCACAGTCCAAAGTCCCTATTCCGTCCAAAAAAAGAAATATCCTACCCATCAATCCGCTCTGGGCCCGCGTGGTGGGTCATTATGTCCTAATCTCCTATTCCGTCAAACTCTTAAAACCAAGGCTACAGCCACCTCCGTCAGTGGTCGCGCACCTCACTGGGTTGTGACAGAAAAGTCTTAAAAATTTTATGCCCTAGTAGCCCCCATCCGCCATACGGTCCGAAAAGGAACTTCGTTCCAGAATACGTAGAAATCGACAAAGAATCGAATGTTAAAGCTCCTCTGTTCGCGGAAGAAACATATTATCTACTAGCGACCGCTTTTTTGAGAATCCCACAGGAACCTAATATTTTTCCGGGATAAAAAGTAGCCTATGTCTCAATCCAGGTCATATACTATATGCGGACCCCTCAGCCAAATCCGTTGTTTTTGCGTCATTAAGTAGCAAACACAAACATATTTATAATATTATAAGTTGGTCAATAATTAATTTATATTTATAAGGATTGTGTGGTGTTTGATCTGGTTGTAGAACAGTTACTTGTGATGTTAAAATAAGCCGACTTGTCAATAAAGTTTTTTCAGAAACTGTATAGTGAATAATGCTGTCATTATAATAAAAACATTGTCTTAATAACAGGGGGTCAAAGATGAAAGTTTATAAATTGAATAATTACTTAATTATGATAAGAATTTGACTGTTTTATGTGAGGTTGGTTGGACTTTAACATTTTACAGTAAGTTACTTAATTCAAACGTAAACCGATATAAACGTGCACTAAGAAACAAAACAAAGGTATATTATTAGTTTAGAATTTTAATCTTCCGGTAGCATTTGTATGTGTTTTGTCTGAACTCTGCAACAAGGTTGTTAGCGTTTGGGAAAACCTTTTAACCCAATATCTATACTAGTTATAATTTAATAAAGCATGCGGGCGGATGGCTACTGGCCAATTAGTAACATTGAATAAATTATGTGGGACCATCGAGTAACACAATACTTAGGTTTCATATGTTATTGCTGGAAACTAAGTGAATTAAGTATTCTCTTTAGTACCAGGCGTGCCATATATTTATATCACGGAATGTGCCTTTTACATTAATTGCTTCATAAGTTCTGTATCGTATCAGTCCGATGGCTGACCTGCACAATCTATGTAATGTGGAGCTCGCGTCGTATTTTGGTCACCCCAGTTACCCAAATGACTGCCTACGAATGTATCTGTCAGTAGTATCATATAATATGTAGGTATTTATTGTCTTCACTGATGGAACTGAAAAATAGCATGTGGGCTAATTAAGTACAGTTGTAATAAATCGCTTATTCTATCTTGTTCTACAAATTTGGTACAGATTCTAAATATTTTTAGCAGCTATCAATAACTTAAATAAAAAAATTACATTTGTTACACATCACCTGGAGTGCTCTCATATGTATTATTATAAAGACATAATGCACGGACTTAGTATGCCATGTCCAATCGTAAAATAAACTGGTAGATAATTGTGTGAGAGATGATGCGATCGTGCGTCCAATAATAGGTACCTATGTAAGATAACATTAGGGAATGCCGTACGGAGAGGCCGAATACATGTTGCGGGACTAATCTCGTTCAATGAATATGCGGGATACCGCTGCACTGGCGGGATTACCAGAAGCGTGTTTTATACGTCTTCTGTCGGCAGTTCACATGGCCACAGTAATAATATCTATACAGTATTCTATCTTCATACAAACGGTATCGGAGTCATACCTACGCCACTCGAGTTCGAGGGACTCTCGGCGGGCACCCAGACGAATTGCGTTTAAGTAAAATAATGTTTCATTATATGTAGATTCCTTATTTTATTTCAGACTAGAGGTCGCCCGCGACTTCGTCTGCATTAACTTAGTTTCTTGCAAATCCCTCTGGAACCTAACATTTTTCGGGATTAAAGTAGCCATGTGTGAATCTAGGGTGCCAGCTAACTCCATACCATATTTTATTAAAATCGCTCCAGCCGTTTAGACGTGAAGAAGTAACAAACATACACACTCACAAACTTTCGCCTTTATAATATTAATAATAATTTAATTTATTGAGATTTTAATGCGTGAGACTGTTTGATGTTTTTTGAGATAATTTGTATTATGGTACAAAATTGGGCGAAAAGGTCTCCTTTGTAAATAACAAATACGAATAGCCATGTGAAGTGTCGGCATTACTCTCATTTGAGGCGCATATGAACGAAAACTCAGTGTTTCTTTTCATAAATTAAATAATATACCTATATACTAATTTACCAATTTATGGTATTTGTGATTGAGTTAAAAAGTTATCCCCCCAGGATTTGAGTATATATCTTTATATATATAATTCTTCAGTGAGTGTGTATGTCACTGAACTTCTCTTAAACGACTGGACTGATTTTGATGAGATTTTTTTGTGTGTGTTTAAGGGGATCTGAGAATGGTTTAGATTCACAATTTTGTCCGCTGGACAACCCCTATTTTTTTAGGGCGGTACGAAGTTCGCTGGGTCAGCTAGTTACACTATAAAATATGAAAGCGAACGTTTCAAATGTGTAAAAATGGATTTTGTTTTGCCCATAACTCCTTTCGGTTTTGCTCCGTCAGGCTGAAGCTTATAGGTATTGATAATAGAATAGTTATAAAGCCGTATGTATAAGCATTGACTATGATCCCGGACGAGACGAATTTAATGAATTAGTATTTTATTTGTGTCAAAATTGAGACCATGAAAACGAAGTCTATCAGGTCCTTATTACGATTTATTTGAATTTAAGTCACCCTGGAACCAAATATTTGCAGGACACAGGCAAATACTTGGGATCCAGCTGGATTAAGATGGTTCAATTCCGTAAATACCTGTGTACCGAACGGGTAGAAAATAAAAGCTCCGGTTCAGTGATGTACTCCATAATAATAATTTTTCAATAAATATCAAAAAAACAAACGTATTTCAAAGTAAAGCAAAATGAAAAAAAAGGAGTATATAACAAGTATAAAAAGGTTTAAATCAGAAGTCTCGACAACAATCTGGATTGAAATGATCTTGCAGGATTACATTCCATAATATAGATATCGCCCGCTTTATCGCTTTTTCTCTTTCTAGAAAGTTGTCGACAACAAGATTTCATGCGAGTGTCGCTCATTGCATTCTCTTTGTCGATAGACTGGAGCGTGTGGCAAGTTTACAAGATATCACAAGTGTCGTGTTGTATTGTCGCAGTTCATCAACGCGCTGGTGAACATCGGTCGTCGGCTGGCGGGCGTGGCCGACAAGGAGCGCCGCAACGGGAAGCTGCGCGCGGAACTGGCCGCCCTCGACCTCAACCTGCCCGCGCGCGTGTGCCTGCCGCTACACCCCCGGCCCCACCACGTGCTGCGCATCCCGCCGCACGCCGCCGCGGTGCTCAACAGCAAGGACAAGGTGACGCCCCGCGCCCCCCGCCCCCCGCCCCCCGCCCCCCCGCCCCCCGCCCCCCGCCCCCCTGTAACCTACATGGACCTCAACCTGCCCGCGCGCGTGTGCCTGCCGCTACACCCCCGGCCCCACCACGTGCTGCGCATCCCGCCGCACGCCGCCGCGGTGCTCAACAGCAAGGACAAGGTGACGCCCCCCGCCCCCCGCCCCCCCGCCCCCCGCCCCCCTGTAACCTACATGGACCTCAACCTGCCCGCGCGCGTGTGCCTGCCGCTACACCCCCGGCCCCACCACGTGCTGCGCATCCCGCCGCACGCCGCCGCGGTGCTCAACAGCAAGGACAAGGTGACGCCCCCCGCCCCCCGCCCCCCCGCCCCCCGCCCCCCTGTAACCTACATGGACCTCAACCTGCCCGCGCGCGTGTGCCTGCCGCTACACCCCCGGCCCCACCACGTGCTGCGCATCCCGCCGCACGCCGCCGCGGTGCTCAACAGCAAGGACAAGGTGACGCCCCCCGCCCCCCGCCCCCCCGCCCCCCGCCCCCCGCCCCCCCGCCCCCCGCCCCCCGCCCCCCGCCCCCCTGTAACCTACATGGACCTCAACCTGCCCGCGCGCGTGTGCCTGCCGCTACACCCCCGGCCCCACCACGTGCTGCGCATCCCGCCGCACGCCGCCGCGGTGCTCAACAGCAAGGACAAGGTGACGCCCCCCGCCCCCCGCCCCCCGCCCCCCGCCCCCCGCCCCCCGCCCCCCGCCCCCCGCCCCCCTGTAACCTACATGGACCTCAACCTGCCCGCGCGCGTGTGCCTGCCGCTACACCCCCGGCCCCACCACGTGCTGCGCATCCCGCCGCACGCCGCCGCGGTGCTCAACAGCAAGGACAAGGTGACGCCCCCCGCCCCCCGCCCCCCGCCCCCCCGCCCCCCGCCCCCCTGTAACCTACATGGACCTCAACCTGCCCGCGCGCGTGTGCCTGCCGCTACACCCCCGGCCCCACCACGTGCTGCGCATCCCGCCGCACGCCGCCGCGGTGCTCAACAGCAAGGACAAGGTGACGCCCCCCGCCCCCCGCCCCCCCGCCCCCCGCCCCCCGCCCCCCGCCCCCCGCCCCCCTGTAACCTACATGGACCTCAACCTGCCCGCGCGCGTGTGCCTGCCGCTACACCCCCGGCCCCACCACGTGCTGCGCATCCCGCCGCACGCCGCCGCGGTGCTCAACAGCAAGGACAAGGTGACGCCCCCCGCCCCCCGCCCCCCGCCCCCCCGCCCCCCGCCCCCCGCCCCCCTGTAACCTATATGGACCTCAACCTGCCCGCGCGCGTGTGCCTGCCGCTACACCCCCGGCCCCACCACGTGCTGCGCATCCCGCCGCACGCCGCCGCGGTGCTCAACAGCAAGGACAAGGTGACGCCCCCCGCCCCCCGCCCCCCGCCCCCCGCCCCCCGCCCCCCGCCCCCCGCCCCCCGCCCCCCTGTAACCTATATGGACCTCAACCTGCCCGCGCGCGTGTGCCTGCCGCTACACCCCCGGCCCCACCACGTGCTGCGCATCCCGCCGCACGCCGCCGCGGTGCTCAACAGCAAGGACAAGGTGACGCCCCCCCGCCCCCCGCCCCCCGCCCCCCGCCCCCCGCCCCCCGCCCCCCGCCCCCCTGTAACCTATATGGACCTCAACCTGCCCGCGCGCGTGTGCCTGCCGCTACACCCCCGGCCCCACCACGTGCTGCGCATCCCGCCGCACGCCGCCGCGGTGCTCAACAGCAAGGACAAGGTGACGCCCCCCGCCCCCCGCCCCCCGCCCCCCTGTAACCTATATGGACCTCAACCTGCCCGCGCGCGTGTGCCTGCCGCTACACCCCCGGCCCCACCACGTGCTGCGCATCCCGCCGCACGCCGCCGCGGTGCTCAACAGCAAGGACAAGGTGACGCCCCCCGCCCCCCCCCCCCCCGCCCCCCCCCCCCCCCCCCCCCCCCCCCCCGCCCCCCGCCCCCCTGTAACCTACATGGACCTCAACCTGCCCGCGCGCGTGTGCCTGCCGCTACACCCCCGGCCCCACCACGTGCTGCGCATCCCGCCGCACGCCGCCGCGGTGCTCAACAGCAAGGACAAGGTGACGCCCCCCGCCCCCCGCCCCCCGCCCCCCGCCCCCCGCCCCCCCGCCCCCCCGCCCCCCCGCCCCCCGCCCCCCTGTAACCTACATGGACCTCAACCTGCCCGCGCGCGTGTGCCTGCCGCTACACCCCCGGCCCCACCACGTGCTGCGCATCCCGCCGCACGCCGCCGCGGTGCTCAACAGCAAGGACAAGGTGACGCCCCCCGCCCCCCGCCCCCCGCCCCCCGCCCCCCGCCCCCCGCCCCCCGCCCCCCGCCCCCCTGTAACCTACATGGACCTCAACCTGCCCGCGCGCGTGTGCCTGCCGCTACACCCCCGGCCCCACCACGTGCTGCGCATCCCGCCGCACGCCGCCGCGGTGCTCAACAGCAAGGACAAGGTGACGCCCCCCGTGACGTGACTTAATGTGCGGTAAACACAAAAGTAAAGCGTGAAGTTGGTCGCTAAAGCGACCAACTTCATGCTGTTAAAATTTTGTGTTACAGTGATGCGCGCGCATCTTAAAATTTCACTCTCATCATTTTTCATAACGCGCCTAAAGAAGTATAACTTCAAAAAAAACCTACTCAAGAAGGACTTTTACGTGTTCACATTTTTGTAGGTTTCACTTGTATCGCATGAGCACATGTCCGTTTTTTTGAGTTTTGAACGGGATTTGCAGCATCGAACCAGTACCTACCAAATTTATCCTTCCGCGTCATTTCACAGTGTTTTTCCTTAACTTTACGGTGTTCAAAGTGTAAAACCATCGATGAAAATGACAGGGAAAAGATATTAAACAAACTGAAACTGAAGAAATTTTTTGATATCTTTTATGTGAACTTGAATATGTCTTATCTGATAACTTCGATAATAATATGCATTATTTACATAGTTATTTAATCAGGTAGAGCAAATATATTTAAGATTTTCTTCATTATTTCATATCTCTATATCTTAGCGAAAGACGAGGCACAAAATATCGTATACTAAATATTTGCAACACAATACTGGTAATAATCAGTGCGTATGTAATTTCATACCAGTACCGGTGGAGGTGCCGTGACTAAAATTAAATACTTTCGACATTAAAGTATGTAATACTATCTTCCATATCGTATTGTGTCATGGATGATAGTTTTGAAATAGATTTCACCTTGATCTTACATAACATAATTTAGAGTATTGTTTATAATTTTTATGTTGTAGGAATGCCATATGTTAACGTGGAACTGGCAATTAATAACACTTCATTCAATTTCATATGTCCGCAAAAAACAAGGTCACATATTTTTGCACAACTGAAGGTCCAAATATCATAATAACAATATCTATATTATGTGCAATTTATTCAACTTTCGTGTATAGCTTGCCCTTGAATGGATTTTAACGAGATAGTGGGTGCGATTTGAAAGGATCAATTAAATCGAGACAAGTATAAAATGCGGATATATTACCGTACCGCACCTTACTGCTCGATTTTTTATAGTTAGGTAAGCAAGTGACTAGCCCATCTGTTGTTAAGTGGTGGTAAAGTCCAGACGCGAACATAGCTGGTGTATCAGTTATAAACTGCCACACCGACCATCCCTACCTTGCCGGTCTGTAGAAATGCTTTTTCACGCCTCTTTTAAAGGTCAGATTGTAGGAAGGAAGGAACACGTGTGCGGGCAAAGAATTCCACTTGCGAATAGTATGGCAAAGAATTCAGCCATCAAATTTATTTGCCCTTTTATTAATAGTGGCCACAGTAAGTCAGTGATAACGTAGGCCAGCGCGCGTGGTCCTCTGAAGGAAAGCGGAAGGTGGAATAAAGGAGAATAACTCCTCAGAACACTCGCTGCGGTATAGGCGAATGTAAGACCAGAGGTGTCCTTGACATATTGATCAAAATGAGAATTCACTGTGCCGTGTAAATGTATAATAATAATAATAGGAAGAAAAGTATCTATTTCAGACACGAGATCCATATCAAATTAAGTCAAAGCAAAACAAACAGTTACATTAAAATAAATAATAAAAATGACATGATGTGTAACATTTGAAACCTCACCTTATATTAGTAAAAAAGAAGTAAAACCTGCTACAAAAGGAATAAGCCATTTGAACATTATGTTCTAAAATCAAATCAAATAGCGCCCGCTTTCGCGACTTCCTGTTACACACTTCCGTCCCATTTCACGAAATCACTCCCACAAATTCTCCCACTTACACATCAAAAAATACATTTAAACAAAACAAAATTACACACATGTCAAATTAAATTACGATTTAAAATGTAAAAAAAAAACATTGTGTGTGTCAGCTCCGACGCACGACTGGAGTTTACTCCTTAAGTTCGATAGTCTAACCAGACGCAAAAAGAGTTTATTTAACTTGAAAAAGATTGATACTGTATGAAAGGGTAAATTAACAAATTAATGAAAATAATATACATATATGAATATATATTTATTCATTTCATATACATTTATTATAACTAATCGACGAAATATTTTACATTAATTATAAAGGGCGATTATGTATACGCCATTTGTGCATTTAAAATTTTAGTTTATATGTATCAAAATAGATGGCGCTGTAGTTCGTTGCATCACGTAAATATGTTTGGAGCTACATATAGGCAAAACGTCACCTAACTAATAAAGAAATCTATAGTCTAACAAAATACACTGTAGTTTCCATTTAATTCTTTTGCACCTAAGCTCTCGGATTTAAGAGTAATTTTGGCTCGAACAGGATGCGCACCAAAAACGTAACGAGGTTATTCATCGATAGATTTTACTCCTCACATTTTTTCTCATACCGGGCCCCTTATATATACAAATCGATTCTTAAGGAGTAAACTCCAAAACATTCAGTTAAATGAAGTTAAATAAATTAGTATAGAACCTTCATATCCGTTACTCGTTTCTGTTTAGCTTTGAGTGCGACCTTCAGGGTTGCCTGTGATATTTCGTAACATAAAGTGCTCGTGTGTTACAATATACAATGGAGTTAGTTATCTAGATGTGAGGCAGTCAATCGATCTAGTTTCAATTGTACTTACTCGTAATCTGCTCTATAAAGTGATTACAGTGTGACGAAGCGCATTACGACGGCAGTAAAGTGCTCACATTGCAAATATGACTTGTGACGGTTTACAATTTTCATAGTTATTGGAGTCATCTAACGCAACCGGACAGCGAACATCAACAGAGCAATCTTTTGAGCCTGAATAGTATCAGGCGAGCGTCTAGAGCTGGACGAATAACTACTTACCTATAACTTTCTATTAAGTACTGTATTTTTATAACTTGCACAGTGTTTCACTCGTATATTATATAGATTAAGCATATTTTTAGAAAGGAACTTTTTTACGAATCTCGATCATGATTCTGCATTTCTTGTTCGCACAACGATACTAAATATCGTTGTGTTAGCAGTACAGTTTTTTACTTTTGTCAAAATCACATCATATCATAAAATGATGTGATGTGATTTTAATTATAATCTTTTATTTAATTATAATCTAAATTTAATTTAATTATAATCTAATCAATTATTTTGCTATCTGAAGTTATAATATACTCACAAGTCATTTAATCCTTAAGAATTTTAACGCAAGTATTTGTGACGGAGTTATATTGCATAATCCGCTACAAACGCTTCTAATAAATTATAGTAAATGATTTGCTTTTATATGATATTGTAACATGTCATCGCACGGTGAAGGTATCGCTCAGTATATATAAGACTTTTCATTTTGTACATTTTGTCGATGACGACCTCCGTGGCCGAGCGGTTTGCACGCCGGGTTTCACGGTACGCAGTTAAAGTGTACTCGTATACCGTTTTTTCTGCTATATAAACATGTTATATTCGTCGGTCAACGCCATCTAGTTTTTAAGTGCCGAAACTTTTCTAAGTTCAACCAGTCGTTCGCAAGCCATGTAGATCGACGTACGCGGCTAGATGGCGCTGCGGGAACAATGATTGATGTGGGATGTGTTTGTGTGCGCGCAGGCCCCGTACATAATGTACGTGGAGGTGCTGGAGACGGCGCCGGACGGCACGGGGGGGCTGCCCCCGCGGCTGCTGCCCCCCGCGCCCCCCGCGCCGCATTCGCCCCCCATCCGGCACACCAAGAGCGAGGAGAACCTGGCCCCCCCGCCGCTCTACTACCCGCTGCCGCTGGAGCCGCCCGACCTGGCCGACCTGGCCGACTGCTGGAGCCCGCACGACCCGCATGACCCGCACGACCTCAGCGACGCGCCCCACGACACCATCTCGCAGGTGAGGAACATCGACACGCAACACGACCGCTATCCGACCGCGACGCAACACTTTTTTGATTATTCCGGTTTTTGCACATACAAACCCCATTGTAACAGTGAGAATGTGATCGGTGGTCTGAGCTGAGTGGGCGAGCGCAGTGAAAAGCTTATGAGGAGGAGGAGCGCAGCTTCATCATCAGCCTATTAATGTCCCCACTGATGGGGCACAGGCCTTCCCTATGGATGGAATAGGGAGATTGGGCCATGACCCTCCACGCGGGCCCGGTGCGGATTGGCGGGTGCTAACGACTGCAGATGCAGCCGGGACCGACGGCTTAACGTGCCTTCCGAAGCACGGAGGAGTTCGAGATAGTGAATTTTCGGTCACCCATCCAATGGCCGATCACTGCGAAAGTTGCTTAACTTCGGCGATCGCAGCCGAACGCGTTAAACACTTGCGCCATCGAGCTCCTCTGAGTACAGCTTGTCCCACCCATAATGTGTCCGGCGGACAGTCCAGCGGCTGTATATAGCTGGCTTATGTGGCATGTGCTCGTCCAGACCGCCCTTGAAGCTGAGGGCAACCCAATAACTTCAGTACCTCCGTGATCATGCGCTTCCGACGTCGCCGAAATATCGGAGACTTAAAAAACGAAGTACATGATAGCGATCCCGTAAATAACGTAAATTGATGTAGTTTTAAAATAAATAAATAAAATTCATTTATTTCGAGCAACATAACTCATAATCATAATAATAATGCATAATCAATTATTGTAGAAATAGGCACATGTCACTTAAAATACACCTAATCATTTATTTAATTTAATAAATTACATAGTTTAAATTTAATAATTTCCATCAAATAAAATAATTAAAAATCAAAGGTCAAGTTAATATTATTATAATGTCATACACAAAATGAATATTAAAATGTCATAGGAACACAAAATTTCTTATTTATATCAAACCGTATTTTTTTTTTTAATATAAAATATTTTTACCATTGTATTTAATAACATTACACACCTCCATTAGATAATATATGCTGTGCACAACAATGCCGCATGTAAGGACAGTCAAACCTCTCCGCTATCATAGCCAGGACTTTATTTGGGCTTGCCCTCACTCTACTTACAAGGCATGCACACCTTTTGCGCATGGTGGTGAAAAAGCAGTTTGTATGTGCTATTGCGAACATTCCCGAGGCGCTACAGTAACGGGGTAGCCCCAGGAGTGCCCTAAAAGCATTGTTAAATTGCACGCGAAGCGCGTTATACACTCTCCGAGAATAGCGGGCCCACAAAGCACATGTGTACAAAGAAGTGCAGTAAGCACGAAAGAGTGTAATTTTCACCTCTACTGAACTTCGTGAAAACTTGCGCGCCAACATATTTGCCCTTCTTGACAATGCTCTCCGTTCCCGCTCAATGTCAGCACTGTCGTCGAGGTCAGCAGTAACTATATGCCCCAGATATTTGAAATGGTACACTCTTTCGAGCGGGATGTTATTGAGATGTATTGCTGGCACATTCTCTGGGCATCTAGCACCACCAGCCTCGAAAACCATGAACTGACTTTTCGTAGGATTGTACTTTAATCCATGCTCGCAAGCGTATTTCTCACAGATGCGCAACAGGTGTCTTAAGCCACAGACCGAGGCACTCAGCAGAACCATATCGTCCGCGTAACTAAGATTATTGACACAGATTCCATCAACGTGACAGCCGACATGGCTACTGCTGAGCTCCACGATTAGCGCGTCCATATATAAATTAAAAAGAGTGGGAGAGGTCAGCCCACCCTGCCTAACACCGCACTGAAGACGATATGGCTCCGACACTGCGCCCCCCCATCTGACGTTGTTAATTTGATGTGAATACCAGTACTTAAAGATGTTAATAAGTTCTCGTGGTAGACCCATCTTGTCCAACTTGCTCCATAAAACCTCGTACGCCACCAGGTCAAAAGCCCGGGATAAATCCAGGAAACACGCATATACTGGAGTCTTACGATTCGTATAATACCTGACGCTGTGCTTTAGACTCAGTATTGCACTCTCAGTGGACAATTTGGATCTAAATCCAAACTGATTGTCGTGCAAGTGAATGTGTTCATTTAACTTTTCATTGAGCACAGCGTCAAATATTTTTGCTATGATCGTAGCTAAGGAAATTGGCCTATAGTTACTTTTATCAGCAATGTCACCGGTTTTATTTTTCACTATAGGTACTACCACTGTCTTCATTACGTCTGACGGTAAATAAGAGTGACTCACACACAGCGAATAAAACATTGCGAGTACCCTATAAGCGTGAGGCCCGGCATGCCGTACGTGCTCGACGCTGAGACCATCATGACCAGGAGACTTTCCCCTGGTCATGGTTTTTACAATAGTAGCTAATTCTTTCGCTGAGACTTGTATATTCACAGCCCCATTCCCATTTAGTAATTCAGCATCGAAAACCCGACCCACCAGCCCTAAGGGAGACTGTATAGTAAAATGAGACCTAAAGGCATCAGCGATCTCCTTATGATCACACTTACCGTCGATGACCATAGGACAGCTCGGTTTTAAGTTGTCCCTTTTTATAAATCTCCAGAAACTCTGAAAATCTCCGCTCGAATGTTTTTCAGCAAGGGCGTCCATTCGTAATTGGTCCTGGTGATTTTGGCACCATTTCAAGCGTGACTTAAAGATCCTCCTGCTTTCAGACATATCATTGAAAATGATACCCGAACGCGGCTTACCGCACCTTAACCATTCAAAATATTTTAAACGTGCCGTCCTATGAGCCTCGGCGACGCACTTGTTCCACCCTGCCACACCTGAGCCACTCCAACCACCACCAGCGTCCTCTCGTTTTAGTGATCATGAAAGTTTGAAACAATATAACATTTTGGTGATGACACCTTTATAATAAGAACAATCTTTCTATAGAGGGATACGATCTCCCAGGTGATCATCGACCCAACACTCTCATATAGAAACCCTTTTCATGATCACATTATCGATTTCTATAGCAAAACATGATGATTGATGATTTCATGAAAACATTATCTGTCTCTATAGACAGACAAGTTCTTCCAGATGATGAGATGACTCGCCCAAAACATTGTTTAGTTTAGCTGTTTCATTATCACATTATCCGTTTCTATAGCGAGCAAGCTATGTGGCAGACACCAACGCAGGCGTAATGTTTGACGCCACATATTAAGCAGTGTTTTCCGTATCTAATCAAATCAATTTTAGAACAAACATGCAATTTGAGATAGTAAATTTATATTGGGTTTTTAGTATTTAAAAGTAAAAAACACAAAGACAATTGTTTATATTCGTGATAACTACTTAATAAAAAAAGACTTTATTGTTTAAAGTCACTTGTAACTTTTCAGGTTTTTTAGTAATTTTGTTCAGTTAATGGTAAAAGAAGCATAATTAGTACGATTTGTTAAAATAGCTACGCAAGGTAGTTTTGACATATCATATTTTTTTTTGCACTGATGGTACGAGTACGAGGCAGAAAATCAATTAGTTTTACAGGGAAATCCCCTGTTAGCTAATAAGCATAAATTTAGTACTGCATTCTACCTGTTTGTATGATTAAAGAATCCTTTGACGTTGTTATTATGTAGGTTTTTATTGGAGTTAACTCCTTAAGAATCGATTTGCTGATTTGAGAATGATATATATAAGGGGCCCGGTATGAGAAAAATGTGAGAAGTAAAATCTATCGATGAATTACGTTTTCGTGCGCAACCTCATCTGCGCACCTTTCACTTTTAGCCATGGCAACGGATAAAAAACATTAAGTTATCACAAATATCAATAAAATAAATAAACTAAAAATAGATAAAATCGGAGCAAAATTAATGAAAACAAATAAATAACAGAGTATAGAGAAATGCCGGTAAGTGTCCAGCACTCTGGAATAATGATTTTCAGTACTGATGGAATTATAATACATATTTACAAAATGATGACTAGTGTGTGATATTTTTGAAATTGTGTGTTTCCAGAAATACATAATAAAATATATGATGAATATCGCTGATGTTAGATGATAAAATGTGTGACATGGAACCTATGATAGTCGAAACCATGGGACGATTCCTGAGGTATCTCTTCTTGTAACCGACTTCTTCGGACTTGATTTTGTTTTGTGTTTGTTCAAAGACAATCGTTTTAAGAGTGTAAACTCCGCCTTTACAGGCTACGTCGTCAGAATTAAACTTTTATTTAATTTGTCAAGCTACCTTCGAAAATTAAATAAAAGTTTAATTCTGACGACGTAGCCTGTAAAGGCTACGAAACGTCAATAAATAAATAAAGTTTCGTGCATTAACCCGTAAAAACTAGTTTTATTTAATGAGTGATGTGCGTGAAAACCTAAGAAACAAAAATGTGTGAACGGTCGTGCGTCGGAGCTGACACACACAATTTTTCTCGCTTCTATTCGAATCTAAGTCTTGGCTGGAATCTCCTGCAATAAATACAAACGTCGACTTCATCAATAAAACTTGACAGTTTGGGTTTTTAATGATGCTGAATTGGACTTCACATAGTTTTGTATTTGCCTTGTATCACTTTGGTAGCAGAACAGTGATAATGATACACTGCTGTCAAATTATGTTAGGCAAATAACAATAGCCATGTGAGGTGCTACCATGAAAAGTTTTTTGTTTAGAGTTAATTAAAAGTAAGAGCTTTCCAAAGTCAACATAACACCTTCTCAAATAGGTTTCAATTGCGTTGATGATCTGCCCGAATATATAGCAAGTTGTCATAACTCGTATGTTATATAGCGCCGAGCGGCTCGAATCGTCGATGACCAGGACCTTTCCGATCAGCTTGATCCTTTGGCGTAGGGATGTAGCTTCGCTCTGCATCTTCTATCGCATTTATCACGGGGAGTGTTCTGAGGAATTGTTCGGATTAATTCCAGCTGCTGCATTTCGCCATCGTACATCGCGACAAAAATTTCATCCCCATCATCTTGATGCGTGGCTATCCACAACCGTGCGTTTTTGTCGAAATTTTTTATCACGTACGACAAAACTGTGGAATATGTTGTCGCCAGCAGTGTTTCCGGACCGATACGACCCAAAAACCTTCAAAAAACGAGCGTACTCCTTCCTTAAAGGCTGGCATCGCATTTGTGATACTCCTGGTGTTGCAAGTGTCCATGGGCGACGGTGATCACTTACCATCAGGTGAGCCGTCTGCTCGTATGCCCCCTATAACATAAAAAAAAGTATGTAGTAGCCATGGCATCCTTGCATTGTAAGGCAAAGATTTGTAAGAATGGCATCATGTAGCGATATCGCGTTAGTCAAGTTGTACCAGCACGTGAGACGCGCGCGACACGTATTCGCCGTAATCTCCGCACACTTGACAAATAACGTTCTGCTTCATGCACACGTTTCATCGTATTCTTGAAAATTTTATCGACTTGCTTATTGAACTCTTCATTGCACACCTTACTTAGTTACACTTAATAAGACGAATGTAAAGATGAACTTGTTCAGTTTTTTATACATGGACAGAGAATATCATTTAATGTATTTTTAATTTCTTTATCGTGCTGTGTTTTTTTGGAGACGCACAAATTGTTATGTAAGTTTATTTCGACCAGTCAGATTAAACAGCCTCATAGTAGACAAACAGATTAATTTAGACTGATGTTTAATTTACTAGTATAATGCGATTCAAACTAAATAGCGGCTGTGCATTTCGTCTTTTAAGTATGAATCGCGCTGCAACTGTTTATGAGTTAGTGTCTGTTTTCGTATAGAAGAAAATGAGGATGATTTTGGTAGAAAGTCGCAACGAGGATCTTTATGAATTAGTCGAAAATTGGAATAAACGTCGCCGTCTTTGTTAACTTCATATTTTGTGTGTCATTAACGAAGTCTTTTATGTATTGTAGGTAGTCGTGCCCTCCCCGAACTGACACTCTCGTTTATAAAGATTCTTGTCGCACTGTAGGCATTGTTCGATATTTATCGGAGGGATTGTATAATAAGGCGGGGGTTTCGTTGTGTTTGCGCAGATATCGGTGCAGTCCGGGTCGAGTAGTGTGAGCGGGGCGAGCCTCGACCAGTTGTCGTTGTCGGGCGCAGGTGCGGGCGCAGGGGTGGGCGCCGTGGGGGCCGGCGACGTGCGGCGACGACTCGCCGACGCTACTGCGGCCCCCCCTCCCAACACATTCCGGCACGACCCCGCCGACCCCTCCGCTGCCACGCTCAAGGTATGTAGCCGACCCCCCGCCGTGGGGGCCGGCGACGTGCGGCGACGACTCGCCGACGCTACTGCGGCCCCCCCCTCCCAACACGTTCCGGCACGACCCCGCCGACCCCTCCGCTGCCACGCTCAAGGTATGTAGCCGACCCCCCGCCGCCTGGCCGGCGACGTGCGGCGACGACTCGCCGACGCTACTGCGGCCCCCCCTCCCAACACGTTCCGGCACGACCCCGCCGACCCCTCCGCTGCCACGCTCAAGGTATGTAGCCGACCCCCCGCCGCCTGGCCGGCGACGTGCGGCGACGACTCGCCGACGCTACTGCGGCCCCCCCTCCCAACACGTTCCGGCACGACCCCGCCGACCCCTCCGCTGCCACGCTCAAGGTAAGTCGATACCGACCTCACAAGGAAGGTTAAAGTAAAAGATGCGAGCTAAAACATCTAAACTCGGGAAGCGCGGTCCTTCCTATCGATTTTTAATTAAGTACGATGTTTGCCCTAAATCGCTCTTTACAGCGTTACTGGGTTTGAGGACGACGAGAGCCTCAAGGGGCCTCAAGTCCAGAATTGGCTAGTGGTATTTCTATTCTATTTAGTTTTACTTTATCAAATATATATTTAAAGTATACCATTTATTTTTATTGAATTTTAATGTATTTTTAATATTAATTATATTACTATTCAATTCGGTATTACGATTCGGTGACCTACAGAACCGAGTCGCCGTCTAAGTCGGGGTGGTTCGTTTGACGTTCGTGCGGTTTGTTCGGTTTCCGTCAGGAGTGTTGGGAGAGCAAGCTGTCGCGCCTGCGCGCGTCGTCGCCGTACGGCACGCTGGCGGGCTGGCGGCTGCTGGGCTGCATCGTGAAGGTGGGCGACGACCTGCGCCAGGAGCTGCTGGCCGCCCAGCTGCTGCGGCGCCTGCAGGCCGTCTGGGACGCGGAGCGGGTGCCGCTGGTGCTGCGGCCCTACCGCATCACCTGCCTCGACCGCGACGCCGGCCTCATCCAGCCGGTCAGTGACGCGTCATATGACCCGCGGCAGGCTGCAGGCTGCAGGCTGCAGGCCGTCTGGGACGCGGAGCGGGTGCCGCTGGTGCTGCGGCCCTACCGCATCACCTGCCTCGACCGCGACGCCGGCCTCATCCAGCCGGTCAGTGACGCGTCATATGACCCGCGGCAGGCTGCAGGCTGCAGGCTGCAGGCCGTCTGGGACAAGGAGCGGGTGCCGCTGGTGCTGCGGCCCTACCGCATCAGACGCGTTTCAAGAAACCCAACATTTTTAATGCCTTTGCAACAATAACGTTAATATGTTCAATGAATCCGAGCTTTTTGTCAATTACAATGCCCAGATCACGAGTCGAACCCACTTCGCTTAGCTCTGCAGAATTAATGGTATAGACAGAAGCGTTAATGTTTTTTGTCTTTGTGGTTTTTATAATTAGACATTTACTTGCTTTAAGAGTCATACCGTTGTCTACGCATCATTCCGATACCTAGTCTAGATCTTTTTGGAGCAAAAGTATATCTTCCTCGTTTTTGATCGGTCGATACGACTTTAAATCGTTGTCAAAAAGAGAGCAGCTGCTATACCGGATTTTATCAGGGATATCGTTAATAAAAACGAAAAACAGAATTGGTCCCAAGATCAAACCCTGGGGGACTCCCGACGAGATGAGGAATGGTTTCAATTTCTAGCCGTTCACAACTACCCTTGACAACCGATGCTCTAAATAAGAACGGAGCCATAGCAGTAGGGGTCCATGAATTCCGTAACGCTTCAGTTTCATAAACAATATGTTGTGGTCAACCTTGTCAAACGCACTGCTAAATTCTGTATAAATGAAATCTATTTCTACGCCAGAGTCGATTGATTTCGTTAGTTCGTTGACATACGAAACAATATTGGTTGCTGCTGATTAATGTTTACAGAATCCGTGCTGGTTTGCATGAATGTTTTTAAAATTGGAAGTTAAAAACGGGCAGATAATTTTTTCAAATAACTTTGATATTGCATTCAGAATAGATATCAGAATAGTTTTTAATGTTATTATTTTCACCTTTTTTGAAGACTGGAATGATATTAGCCTCCTTAAGCAAATCCCGAAAAACACCAGTAGCAATGGATTTAGCTAATATGGTATTAAGTGGCAGCGCAATGTATTTAGCGGTACTTTTAAGAAATAGTGGCGGAATGCCGTCAAGACCTGCTCCTTTACTCTCGTCAATTTTGCATAAGATCTTAGTGATCATGCGTTCGGATATAGCAACAATTGTGTTATTTTTTTGAAGTTATACTTCTTTAGGCGCGTTATGAAAAAATGATGAGAGTGAAATTTTAAGATGCGCGCGCATCACTGTAACACAAAAACTTCATGCTGTTACTTTTATGTTTACCGCACATTAAGAAAATCTACCAACAAAATAGAATCTCTATTTTGTGGGTGCTAACGACTGCATTGTGAAGGCCTATCAAAAGTATTTATTAATCTGGAACAACGGAACCAAAGCGCGATTCAGGAGACTACAGCGCCATCTCTTGACCATTGGTGTAGTAGAACCAAAAACCACATCTTTATTTTTTGTAATAAAGTAACAGTTATAGGTATTCATATTTATAATATTTATCCACATGTTTCTTGTTTGTATATTCGGAATACGTGTTTGAGTTCCATACAAGTGCAAATCACATCTGTTCTAATAAATTATATTCAGTAGCGATTTTAATTGAATATTTTGATTATTTATTTATTTTTTCAAATTAAAACTGAACTTTATTGACTGTGTCCTTTTCCAGACTTTTTATTAATTTATTGTAATTAATTATTTGCATGCAATTAAAAACTAATTTTAAACAATGCCAAAGAAGGATAACTTCTCACGCGCCTACATAAGTACACGCACCCATTTTTTTTAAATTAATGTTTTAAATGATGAAAATAAAAAAAATATTCAAATATTACATGCTTTATTATTTTGTTACTTATAAAAAAAATAGCAGCTGTTAGAAACATTTACATTGGAGTTAACTTTACTGGAGATTAATTTACGAATCGGCCATTTAATTGTATAGGCACATAAAATTTTCTTTGATTGAGATGCAGGACGAGACGTGCGAAAAATAGATTAAATTACTTGTCAGTCCATGGATTGATTTTCAGGTGTTGTGATAGTAAATATTTTTGTGTTCTATTTTTCCCCAGTTTTGTTTAAAACTAGCGACCGCCCGCGTCTTTGTCCGTTTTAACGTTAGTTTTTTCAAAATCCCTCCAGAACCGGTCTATTTTCCGGGATAAAAAGTATCTCACGTCTCAATCCAGGTCATAAACTTTATGTGCATAAAATTTCTTTCAAATCTGTCCGTTAGTTTATGCGTAATCGATTAACAAACATACAAACTTTCAAATTTATAATATTAATAGAAGAAGGAAGTGTCAGACGAAGTGTTAACATGCGTCGTTGTGCGTAGGTGGTGAACTCGGTATCGCTGCACCAGATCAAGAAGCAATCGGGCGGCGCCTCACTACGCGCCTGGCTCGAACTGGAACACGGCGCCCCTACTACGGAGTCCTTCTTGAGGGCACAGACCGCCTTCACGCGGTCCGCGGCCGCTTATTGCCTCGCCTCCTACCTGCTGCAGCTCAAAGACAGGTATACACACACGCACGCACGCAACAACACGCACGCGCATGCATGCACGCACACGCGCACGCACGCACGCACACGCGCACGCACGCACACGCACGCACGCACGCACACGCGCACGCACGCACACGCACGCACGCACACACACGCACGCTCACGCACATTGCACATGATCGCACACATCACACGCAAAAACAGGTCCGTGAGATTTCCCAAAAAATAATGCAGGATTACCTCGTATTTTGATATTAAATTATATAAAACTTTCATAAAACTAATCTACAATCATTGAACTACTGAAATATGTATATGTTACAGTTAAAAACCGTTTTTTGATAGAACGCGTTTTCCCTACTTAAAATTAGTTTTTACTTAACGCCTTTGTTAAAACTACAAATAGCTAGTTAAAACTAGTATTTAACACTGTTATATTTGATTTTCAGATAAGACTAGTTGTCACTCAGCACTTTAGTTAAAACTAGCACTAGAGAAACTAATTTGGGATTGAAACCAAGATATAGTTTTAAAAATATCTAGGACACAGATTCATATCGCAAGTGACGTGCTCGTGCTCATGCTAATGTTTTGATAACGTGAAAAACAATCAAAAATAGGCCTCCAAAACTTTTTCATATTTTTTTTATATTATTTTTGTAATTGATGACATAATTTGTGAATAATTACAATAATTATTTGGTTCGCAGGCACAACGGGAACATTTTACTAGACAGCGAGGGACACATCATCCACATCGACTTTGGATTTATATTCTCGAACTCTCCCAAGAATTTAGGATTCGAGAGTTCTCCATTCAAGGTGTGTTACATTTTTTCAGTGGTATAATCAGTTTATCGTTTTTTTATTTTATTATTTAACTGCTTTCACAACTTAAATAAAAGTCCTCCTAAAAAATATGTATTATAAAATATACAAAGCAACTCAATTGATATGAACTTGATCTAATTTTACGATAGATAGATAGATATATAAACACTTTATTACTCACACATACACAATTAAAGGGTTTACAAAAAACAGATAGTCAACTATGGTGGGTAAAGGCGGTGTTATCGCTGAAAGCGATCTCTTCCAGACAACCTTAAGTCGAAGGATAGTATAACAGAGATAGAAGAGTAATGTGTCAGTGAAATATAAAATAAAATATAAATAACAAAACGTATATTATGTAAAATACATACAAAAGATAATACTTACATACACTTTTATATATGATAGGATTAAGATTAAGATTAATCCCTCATAAACGTGGTTCAATCTATTGTGATATGATTGAAATGTTGAGCATGAATAATTTCAATTTCAGCACTGTAAGGCTTGTGTTATGGGATGCTAGGGTAACGGATAGAATACATATACTGTACATATATAAGTATATACATACATAATTATATTAATTAATACATATTAAACATCCATGACTGGAGTACAAATGCTCGTATTCATCACACATACATCTGCCCCCACCGGGATTCGAACCCTCCCATTCGGGACCTCTCGAGTCGGCGACAGCCATGAAACCCGGCGTACAAACCACTCGGCCACGGAGGTCGTCATTTTATGGAGTCTATAAATATAACTTAAAGTAAAGTAAAGAATGCGGTCCTGACAGATCCGTCGTGTGTTGAGGTAAAGGCGGGTGGGTCTCCAGCAAAAGTTTTTTTAAAACATTCAACAGAAACAACACATACACAAAACTTTGTTTCTGAAACACATTTCTCTACACACGCCGCCTACTGCTGCCGCGGATGTCGTACACAAAATACACAGGGCTGCGTTCCAAACATACTTCCTTAGTGAGTGGATAAAGAAGTGACCGATGAAACCTACCCATCGACAAACGTGGGGGTTATTTGTGTACGTGTTTTCCAACGGGCTTGGAAAGCAAAACTTTGTTGATGCAACAGATATGTGTAGTGAAACAAAGTTTTGTGTCGACGATTTTGTTAAACGTTGATATGTTTTTTTAATTGTTAAGGGCAAAACACGCACTGGAGACCCAGTACAATAGTACACTTTCGATCTAGTAAAAAAAGGTCTGAAAAGTCTGAAAGGTAGCCATAAAGAACAGATATGACAGTCACCGTACAGTCGGGATCGCATTATTTGAGAACTTGAAATGGTTTTATCTTTTTATTCCTATTTTCTAAAAATAAGAGTATAGTCTGTTCCAAATGAATTTAGACTTAAAGTAAACAAAGAGATAGGTAAGTCTGACCATAGACAGTTTAGTGATGGGGATTCATAGAGCCTTATCAAGATCAATTGATTAATTGAATTACGATCATTTTTGGAAACTGTTAAAGATCTTTAAAGCTTAAATTGTAGCATTAATATTTTTTAACCTCATGACTAAAAAAAGAACTAGCTGTTAACTGTATTTGGCAATACAGTTAACTATATTTCGTTACATAAGAAAATTCTTAATGAACGTTTTTTTGCGTGATTTATTGAATATCTAGGTTCGTCGTCGTCGTATATTTGTCAATTATTTAAGCATCTGTGTTAAAAGTAAATCAAAATGATATCACTTTTACATTTTAATATTTAGGATGAAAAGATATGCGAATAATTAAAATACCACACCATCCCTAATTAAGATTTAAGATAATAATAAAAAGAAAATACCAATAAAATTAATTGCTCATATTTGCAATAACACAAAATTAACGTTCCATAAACTGTCATTTTGTTACTTATCAGTTCGAATAAATAATCGATTCGATTACTAACGTTAATTGAAATCATTTTAAATAGACTACAACAACACTGTTTCACCATAAACAATAGACGATTTCCATCTTTCAAAATAACTTTACTTTTTGACTCAAGTTTTTATTTTCAACTTCTTGACATTTGACGCTTATCGAAATCGAATTCAATTATTCGAGTTCGATATTGGTCGGTGCTAAAGGTACTGTACTGTTTTCATAATCGTACGAGTCCTCTAAGTATTATAAAGGCGGTACCTAAACACTAGTAAAGAGATTAACGAGATTAAAGAAATTGTACGTTGTTTTCAGTTGACGCGCGAGTTCGTGGAGGTGATGGACGGCGAGTCGTCGGACATGTTCCAGTACTTCCAGCTGCTGCTGCTGCGGGGCTTACTGGCCGCGCGGAAACATTGCGACCAGATCGTCAACATAGTGGAGACCATGCGGACCGGTATGTACACACCTGCAGTACTGCCAGCTGCTGCTGCGGGGCTTACTGGCCGCGCGGAAACATTGCGACCAGATCGTCAACATAGTGGAGACCATGCGGACCGGTATGTACACACCTGCAGTACTGCCAGCTGCTGCTGCGGGGCTTACTGGCCGCGCGGAAACATTGCGACCAGATCGTCAACATAGTGGAGACCATGCGGACCGGTATGTACACACCTGCAGTACTGCCAGCTGCTGCTGCGGGGCTTACTGGCCGCGCGGAAACATTGCGACCAGATCGTCAACATAGTGGAGACCATGCGGACCGGTATGTACACACCTGCAGTACTGCCAGCTGCTGCTGCGGGGCTTACTGGCCGCGCGGAAACATTGCGACCAGATCGTCAACATAGTGGAGACCATGCGGACCGGTATGTACACACCTGCAGTACTGCCAGCTGCTGCTGCGGGGCTTACTGGCCGCGCGGAAACATTGCGACCAGATCGTCAACATAGTGGAGACCATGCGGACCGGTATGTACACACCTGCAGTACTGCCAGCTGCTGCTGCGGGGCTTACTGGCCGCGCGGAAACATTGCGACCAGATCGTCAACATAGTGGAGACCATGCGGACCGGTATGTACACACCTGCAGTACTGCCAGCTGCTGCTGCGGGGCTTACTGGCCGCGCGGAAACATTGCGACCAGATCGTCAACATAGTGGAGACCATGCGGACCGGTATGTACACACCTGCAGTACTGCCAGCTGCTGCTGCGGGGCTTACTGGCCGCGCGGAAACATTGCGACCAGATCGTCAACATAGTGGAGACCATGCGGACCGGTATGTACACACCTGCAGTACTGCCAGCTGCTGCTGCGGGGCTTACTGGCCGCGCGGAAACATTGCGACCAGATCGTCAACATAGTGGAGACCATGCGGACCGGTATGTACACACCTGCAGTACTGCCAGCTGCTGCTGCGGGGATTTTTTATTATGTCATTTGATAATACAATTATAGCAAGTTATAATTAAAACATATCATAACGGAACCGACTCAAACCAATGATCATTTATTGTTTCTTAAAAGAAGTCTGATTTGATATTGAAATATGGGCCATGGGGGGTCATGGGCCGCACTCTCTATTCCATCCATAGGTTCAGGAGCTCTACTCTTTTTCTACGAAATGAAATTTCGGCAACGAACCAATTTAAAACGAATTTTCGCCAGTGACTACAAGATTTCATTTTCGAACACGCACATAAAATTTGGAATCACAGACAATTTTCGTGAACGAATGGAATGAGTCATGTTTGTGAGTTCTTTTTGTCTACACTTTTTAGATAACGGTTTTTACTTTAAAACGTTACTTTACGACAAAATTTTTGATTACATTAAAACAACCTCTTTTGACAGTGTTAGCCGATTAATTTGTAGAGTTTATGCAATCGAAAGTATGTCAACATAAAGGAGACCCGGCACTTTTCATAGAAAAAATGCTAAACTTGTATACAGTTGAATTTGGTCTCAAAATAAAGCCAAAATTTATTTGCTACATAAAACTACTTTTGCCTTATTTTTAGTGAATCGTGGAAAGAAGTTATTTAATGATTAATATTTTTTGAAATAGAAATCTTTTTGATGACAAACCTACGTATTTGACATTGACAGCTAGCTGCTGATGACAAATATTGCCAGACTACGGTACCCAATTATGAAACACAGATAAAAAAATTAAAAATGTATACAACTTTGGCACAAAATGCCGGGTGTCCTTTGTCGTGTCACACTTTGAAGTATTGGCAATACAATAATAAACAAAAATTTGATTTATTTGTAAATTTTTCATACTAAAAAATGTTCCTCACACTAAGCAGCCTCAATTAAAAATACTGTCATTGTTATCTTAGGTTTAATTTAAACAAAAATCCTAAAACGAAAACGAAAAGGTTAACACTTTTCATTTCGTCAATTTGAGGTTAAAATTTCGAACAATCATCTGTCAAATTCAACTTTCAGTTCGAAAGTTTTCTGAATCAGAGAAGGCTTGGAGAATTTAAACGTCAAACTATTTTCGGAGGAACGAATTTTCGAAACGAAGTAGAAACAGAGTAAGGAACGTGCGAAATTTCGATCGAAATTTCGTTTTTCGTCGAAATAGAGAGTAGGTCTCCAGGCTTGTGCTTCAGCAGGGGGGACGTTGATAGGTTGATGATAATGTGTGTCGTTGTCGCATGTCAGGCGGTCAACTATCGTGCCTGCGGTCTTCCGGTTGCGTGTCCGCATTCCGGGCCCGCTTCCACCTGAACCGCACCGAGCCGCAGCTGCATCAGCTCGTCACCAGGCTGGTGAGGGACGCCACGCACTCGCTGTCCACGCGCCTCTACGACAACTACCAGTACTACACCAACGGCATCCTGTGACCGTCTATCTATACACATACACACACACACACACACACACACATACAGCTGCATCAGCTCGTCACCAGGCTGGTGAGGGACGCCACGCACTCGCTGTCCACGCGCCTCTACGACAACTACCAGTACTACACCAACGGCATCCTGTGACCGTCTATCTATACACATACACACACACACACACACACACACATACAGCTGCATCAGCTCGTCACCAGGCTGGTGAGGGACGCCACGCACTCGCTGTCCACGCGCCTCTACGACAACTACCAGTACTACACCAACGGCATCCTGTGACCGTCTATCTATACACATACACACACACACACACACACACACATACAGCTGCATCAGCTCGTCACCAGGCTGGTGAGGGACGCCACGCACTCGCTGTCCACGCGCCTCTACGACAACTACCAGTACTACACCAACGGCATCCTGTGACCGTCTATCTATACACATACACACACACACACACACACACACATACAGCTGCATCAGCTCGTCACCAGGCTGGTGAGGGACGCCACGCACTCGCTGTCCACGCGCCTCTACGACAACTACCAGTACTACACCAACGGCATCCTGTGACCGTCTATCTATACACATACACACACACACACACACACACACATACAGCTGCATCAGCTCGTCACCAGGCTGGTGAGGGACGCCACGCACTCGCTGTCCACGCGCCTCTACGACAACTACCAGTACTACACCAACGGCATCCTGTGACCGTCTATCTATACACATACACACACACACACACACACACACATACAGCTGCATCAGCTCGTCACCAGGCTGGTGAGGGACGCCACGCACTCGCTGTCCACGCGCCTCTACGACAACTACCAGTACTACACCAACGGCATCCTGTGACCGTCTATCTATACACATACACACACACACACACACACACACATACAGCTGCATCAGCTCGTCACCAGGCTGGTGAGGGACGCCACGCACTCGCTGTCCACGCGCCTCTACGACAACTACCAGTACTACACCAACGGCATCCTGTGACCGTCTATCTATACACATACACACACACACACACACACACACATACAGCTGCATCAGCTCGTCACCAGGCTGGTGAGGGACGCCACGCACTCGCTGTCCACGCGCCTCTACGACAACTACCAGTACTACACCAACGGCATCCTGTGACCGTCTATCTATACACATACACACACACACACACACACACACATACAGCTGCATCAGCTCGTCACCAGGCTGGTGAGGGACGCCACGCACTCGCTGTCCACGCGCCTCTACGACAACTACCAGTACTACACCAACGGCATCCTGTGACCGTCTATCTATACACATACACACACACACACACACACACACATACAGCTGCATCAGCTCGTCACCAGGCTGGTGAGGGACGCCACGCACTCGCTGTCCACGCGCCTCTACGACAACTACCAGTACTACACCAACGGCATCCTGTGACCGTCTATCTATACACATACACACACACACACACACACACACATACAGCTGCATCAGCTCGTCACCAGGCTGGTGAGGGACGCCACGCACTCGCTGTCCACGCGCCTCTACGACAACTACCAGTACTACACCAACGGCATCCTGTGACCGTCTATCTATACACATACACACACACACACACACACACACATACAGCTGCATCAGCTCGTCACCAGGCTGGTGAGGGACGCCACGCACTCGCTGTCCACGCGCCTCTACGACAACTACCAGTACTACACCAACGGCATCCTGTGACCGTCTATCTATACACACACACACACACACACACACACACACACACATACACATACACCTGAACCGCACCGAGCCGCAGCTGCATCAGCTCGTCACCAGGATCTACCTTGCTGGACGAACGCTAACGGACCTTCTTAACCTTTCGGTATCGAAAGACCGTTTGTGAAAAATCCATACGATTTGCCATTACGGTATCGTTTATACCGTTTTGTTCACCGGCTCCTCGACTATGAATATTACACCACCGGTATACTCTGACCTTCCCGTTGCCGTTCGACCGCTCGAATCGTGCATCACTTATGTTAAAATCGTTCCTCGTGCACGAATCGCCTCGAAATTATTGGTATTCGACGAAACAGTCTGAGCAACATGCGCTTTTTTAAATTACGATTTGATTTATTTGCGATTAAAGCAAAAATTGCTTTGAATAAATTGTACATTACTTAGCGATAAGTAAACATTGAGCGATAACACTTCCATATTACGCGAATGATGCATATTGCTCAGACTTATTTGATGAGCAAATATAAAACACGTTTTCATCGCTTCAACTCTTTAAGAGTGGTCAAGGTGTACCCGTTCAAAAACTGTTATTCATTATTAATTATTAGAACGCGTGAAAGCGTAAGAAATAAATAATTGAAATGTGTTGAAAATCTATGATTACGAATATATTACGTTTTCAACGTCAAATTAGCAATAAGACACGAGTTCCCGTCGATCATCCGGGCGTTGTGTTGCTTCAATGCACTCGATACAATGAAACGTATATGAATTTACTCGGCAGCTGCTAGCGCCGCGTATCACGACATACGGCGGCGTCAGCCTCACCACTCGGATGAAATATTATTACAATTATTGTACTATTAACCACGATATGTTAATATGATCAAATAATTTTATCATTTTAGATAATAATTGTATTAAGCACTAAAATGGTGTCGATTCTGTCAGGATTCTCTAAACTTAAAACTAAATTTAACATCAGTCTCTCCTTTTCATTCTGTATAGAGAATGACAAGAATACACTGTTGTCAAATTTAAGTTTAGGTTTAGAGAATCATGTCAGAATCGACACCAATATCTAATTAAATCCCCATGTACGCTTGTATGATTCACTTTTGTCTCCCCCGCATGTATTGTACAGTTTTTTCGTTATAACCAGTGCCATAATCAGCCATCACGCTGTACATTCAAAATGAAACCGTTTGATTTGCTCAATCACGCAAACGACCTTATCGAATCATGTCCCGACCCGGACCCGTCCATTGTAGTTGTTTTCCTTCCGCTTCGTAAATCGTTTGACCCGTATTCGTCTCCAATACTTGCATGTTCGTGTATTTGTATAAAATTATCGAAGTTCTGAAATGTAAATATAAAAATAAATTATGATAATTTTCGCAAAGAGAAGACTGATCGTTGAGGCATCATGAAGTGTGCTCTAGGTTTAGGTTTCTTATCTCTGTAATTTTAAGTTGTACACCTGTAAATTGATCGTGTAATGTGTAATTATAATGATAGTACTCTATGGATCCTCCGTGTCGACGTCGAAGACAAAATGTAGAACGATGGCATTGTTAGTTAGTGTAAACATGTTAAAGGAGATTAGTTAGGCATCGGACACACCAAAAAACATTGTAAATGAACGAAATTTAATAGTGATAATATACTTGTGTTATTGTTGATTTGTACCGCGGCGACGTACATGGGCCGTGTACACGCGAACATAGTATTTTTTTGTTAATGCGCGATTTGCGACCTGCTTAATGATGTAGTTTTAATGAGGGCTATCGTTTTTTGTCTCACCAGATGGCGCCACTGTTGGGTGAGGTCCTGAAGTGTAACTTTTAAAGTTAATAAACACGCTCGTGGTATCAAAGTTTACATTTTAATACAAAAGAATCGTATCTTAAACATAATCGCCCATGCCACAGTGTGCGCAGCAGTCCCGTTTTGTTCGGAAAAAAGAAGGACAATATTTTTTCTTAGCTCCGCTTATAAATAACTGACAATCATTGACACGTAACTCATATTTGCCCATAATAAGTCTGATTTATTACCAAATATTCACAACTATTATTTTAATTAGAAAAAAACCGCGTACTCAACCCGCAAGCTATAACATTTGACATTTCGGAGACCTCACGCAACACAAGCGCCTCTAGCGGCGGTTTTAGACGCGATAGCCCTCATTACACTTTGGGTGGAATAATAGTGAAGTGGCCACAATTTTTCAAGTAAAATTGTACGCCGCCGCCCAAGCGGGACGATCGCCGTTTATAAATATATATATATATTTATTTTACGAATACGAAGCCAGTATTCGATGTTTGTTGGCAGCGTGAATTGCGCGACCGATCTGCTCATACAGTGGAAAACTGCGCGGCGATACAACACTATGTGGCACCGAAAGCGCCGTTATTATGTCGCAATAAAGAGCAATATTGGTAGTTTAAGTATATCCACTGTGAGTGTGCACGGTTCATGGGACATGGGGGGGGGGGGGGCATTATACGCGTGAGTATGATGGGACCGAACAGTTCCAAATTAATGTTCAACAAGTTAAAGTTGACTTCAAATATTATTGAATATTCCTTATACATGTACAGCGACCTGGTCAAGATATATTAATATATTATTATGTATTCGCTTAGCGTAGGGGTGAGAAGATTGTTGCCAAATTGTAAACGGTAATAATTAACGTATGCAGGACAAATCGCTTATATTTTTCGATCTATTCGCATATTCCGTATATTGAATATTTAATATGTTAGGAACTAAAACCTCGTGCTCGTTAACAGAAGAGGCAAATCCGTTGTACTGCTTGAATTATTTTTAAATTTGTCGTAAATTTTATTTTTTTTAAGATACAATATGTTTTATGAATCAAATGTGATTAATTTGTTCAACAATTCAATGACATAGTAAATACTTAAATTTTCTTATGTATAATTTAGACAAACCACTTGTTGACAATATAGTTTTAAAATTTCTTTTATTACATAAATTAGCTGATTGCCTTCAAAATAAAGTGAAACGAGTATGTATGTACATTGTACGTGTCATGTGATGCCGCGCCGTTATGTGAATGATTATAGTGAGTCGTTACTATTGTATGTCTAGATAGAATATGTTATATCTCAAGTACCTTTAAATATTATATTGTCGAAGGTAATCTATGGTCGCGTATTGTTTGCTAGTTAAATGTTAAATATGTAAATAATTATAAAATGTTTTCGCTTAATAATATTCACATGATCCGTATCGATGACGGATATATAAC